GGCGGCCGCCGGGGCTGGCAGAGCCCGCGGGCGGGGGGTGGTCCCTGGCGGCGTGCTCTGCCCGCGGGGTGAGCTGGGGAGAGGGCTGCTTGCCGCCGCCTTACCCGGGGGCGGCGGGAGGAGGCTTGGCGTCTCCCCGGCCATTTTGTTGCTCAGGGAAGGAGAGGCGCCTCCCTGCCCTTTCCACGGTGGTACGTACCTGCAGTCGGTGGCCTGATCCCCTGGGCAGTCGAAGGAAGCGTCCAGGGATTTACTTTTCTAGGCCATTGAAGTATTTGAGGTGCTGTGAGGAGTTGTACTAGCTGCTCAGCGGCATATTCATTGTTCTTCTCAAATTTTTATTAAGAGCTGTGTTTCCACTGTGCCTCTTGTTACGTATTTACTTCTGTGTATTTCCTTAGTTTGAGGGTTAAATATTTTTGTTTACAGGCAAACAAAATCCTTTCTACTAGTCAGTACCAACTTTTTGTTGTCTTGAATGGTGTCCCTGTTCGCTAGTACCCTCCGGAATCCTGTGTCCACAGCCGCCATGGGCTGGACTCTGCTGCATGATGCTTTATAATAAATACAACAAATCTAGTAACTGCCAGTTGCTTCAGTGTGTACAGGTGCTGCAGGATTAGCATCCAAGATACTTTATCTTTTTGCTGGGCTTCACAAAGAGACGAGGAGTCATATGTTCCTCCCTTGGGATATCTGTAAGGGTACGTAGTGCTGTAGTTTTACTTCATTAGTGTTTGGTGCCACAGAAGAAGTTGTGACGGTCAGTTCCTAGTAAGCAGAGGAAGCTGCATCTACTTTCTGATGAAGTCACAACAATTCTTAATAGGAACTTGTCATCACAACAATTTAAGGAGGAAATTCCAAAAGCATTTTGGTTTATGTAATTTGGCAGGCCTTCGTCTGCTAAGGGAAGCCACAGCAGGCTAATAATCCTTGCCAGCAGTGAGACAGAAAGAGGCTGAACAGCAGCAGGCTTTGTCTTTCCTGCTCTGTCACTCAGATCTTTTTGTTGTTGTTGTTAACATCTTTTCTCCATGCTCTTTGATATTTTGCCAGACTTCTGCAATTAAATATAATACACATTTTTTTCTCATGCAATAACAAAGGCTCGTTGCTTTTTTACTGATGTATATCTACCTCTCAGCTGCTAGCCAGGCAACAAATTAAAATTCTCCAATATTTGTGACCACAAATTAAATCTGAATGCTCAACAGCTGCTGAAGCTTTCTGTTTGTTTGTTTCTAAACTTGACAGACACAGACAATCCCTGCTGCTGGAGCTTTGTGAAGTGACAGGATGAGTAAAAATCTGTTGTGTTTTTTTTCCCCTTGCTAATTAAACTGACGATGTTGTGGCCAATTTGGCCTATTGGGAATGCAGGTTTACTGACTGGGGCTACTGCCTTTACTGGGCCGTGCTTCTGATCTTTTGGGCCCAAGTCTGGCAGAGCATAAGCCCAGTATAAAGTCACTTGCTTCAGTGAAATTTTACCAGCTGCTTTTAATTTTGTTGTGACCTGTTTCAGAAATTGTTTGATGCCTACTATATAGAAAAGAGTATCTTGAATGTATACCCTTTCCTGAACACAAGAAGTCATTAGCATATCAAATGTTTTTGTTGGATTTTGTTGCAAATGCTCACATCTAAAGTTACTGTGCTACTGTTCCTTTGGTTATAGTGCTGAATTATTCAATATTATCATCCACTGCCCTTTTTCTTAGAAGATCTCTTTCACTATTAATTATTAAAAGGTGTACCTCCACTTTCTTAATTAATGCTGGTGTTTCTTTTTAAGGGACGCAGTTCCTATAGCCCTTTGTGGGTGGGAAGTACCTATCACAGGTTTACTTCTTCAGGTTCAGGTGGGCATCTAACCATGTCTAATGCAACTTGGTTTGTACCCACCTCTGACCATAAACTCTCGGGCACAGTTCAGCTGGTATAAATAATCAAAGGTTCCAATTCAGTAAATAGAGCTATGACAAATTAATGTAGCTGGGATCTAAATCCTTCCCCAGTTCTGTTCACAAGTTATAGTACAAAGTTGGAATAATATGGTTTGGATTTACAATAATACTTTTGCTGTTACAGCAGTCAGCTGTGCTGACTGCTGTAATTTCTGGTAGTGGTCAGGAGTAGCCTGTGCTCCTATTCCACATCAGGCTGCAGAACTTAGCTTGTATTCTGGCTACAACTAAATTGGCTTAATTCTTTTAAATGGATGATTACAAATTGTTAGTTATAAAAAAGCTCTCTTGCAGTTGGAGGGAAATTTTTCCTTCTCTGTAGGGAAAGCATAGGCAGTGTTTATTTGATTTTTTTTTTTTAAGATTATTTAAATAGCTGTTCCGAGCAAGGATCCTAAGTATTTGTCTCTATAGGGGACAAATTCCGCGCTCCATCTGTTACGTGAATCCAGAGCTGCCAGACATAACCAAGAGCAGACTATGCCTTTTCCTTTTCTTCCCTCACTTCTTTCTGATGCTTATTCTCCGCTTCCTTGCACAGTCTTTGTTCTTCTGCCCTTCTTTGGTGTCTTTCAATGGCACTGCTGGCAACAGGAGGAGCTATGAACAGCTTGAATTAGTCGTTCTTTCATGGGAAACTGCGATGGGGGGAGAGTACACTGGGCACTTGTAATGCTGCTGACGTGCACTTAACAGACGGTACAGAAGTATGCAAAGGAAACACTCCTGCAAGGAGAGAGGGGAGTGAAAACGCACAGTTACTCGGGCTTGATGCTGGCACGCTTCTTACTGGTCAGAAGAGCTTGAAATGGAGCCGTTTGGGTAGCTTACTCTTCATTTCCCTGTAAAGATCACATCAGCTGGGTCACTTTCAGGAGGTTTTCTGCATGGGGCCTTCTGCTGAAACACTCTGAATGCAAACTCAGCTTGTAGGCTGTGATCCCACATTATTGCTGCTGGTTTATGTTATTTATTATGTGCCTGAAATCTAAAGGTCTGTGTCACTTCTGAGGCACAAATATGAAATGTGAAGGCTCAAGTATACACAAAGGTCTCTTAAAGTATATACTATTGTCTTAAAATTAAGACAGTGCGACCTTTTTTCTTATTCTCTACTATAGAGTGTCTATAGCATTGTAAATGAAACATTGTTTGCAGAAATTGATTTTTGTTGCTTTGTTTTTCCCAGGTTTACAATGAGCCTTTGACAGCACTTTGAGTATTTCATTTCACTCTTTGTCTTGTAAAGTAGTTTTTCTTCCCCTGTTGTTTGTATAATGTCTCTCATGAGCATCAAAATCGTGGAGGGGAGAAAAAGGGTTAAAAAAAGTCGGGAGTAGGAATGCCACATGCAATCTCTGTACTTGTAATTATTAAAGTTAGACTTTAATTTTACTTTCTCTTCTTAAATGTATAAGCAAAATACTTGTGATAGTAGGAAAAATAAACATGAGTCTAAATTGTATGAACTCCATTGTAAGACAATCAGGCATGTTAAAACCAGTGCTAATTTTATCAGAATTTTAAAGAAACTTGGAATGCACCTTGCACAATTTTCTTTTCTGGCTACATTTGTCTTGGTATTTCTGTTTGTTTTGTTGTTTTTTTTTTTTAAAGTCTAACATCAGTCTTTTTGCTTCCTTTGAGACACTACAGGAAAACTGCGAATGACGGTGTTAAAATTAGTAATTTCGGACTTGTTGCTATGATGATGCAGCATCTAGGGAGTTTCTCGTTTTCCTTTTATATATGCAAAAAGGTCCCATAGGATTGTTTTTAAACCTTACTGCATCAGCTCTAAAAAAACAAGCTGTCTAAATTGTTTTCAAAGTATTTGTTGCATACAGGTGACATTTTTAGATGTTAGCATTGAGGTGAATAGCGTACGTGCACAAAGGGACAGGGTTTCAGCTAGCTTGACTTGGAGTGAATAAAGGGCTTATCCTACCTTGGTAGTTGACCATTAAAGCGTATTCCTGTGCTGGGACTGTAGGTGTGTCTGAAGTTTGATGATGGCTGTAGAATCTGTGTTATGGTCAACAAAGTCTGTGAAGTAAAATGCTGTTTATAATCTGTGCATGATCAACTGTGTCTCTCCATGGAAAGTAAGTTCCAGCGTCCAGCCGTTTCTTGTGTCACTGAAAAGGGAAATCTGAGTCATCTCGGTCACCTGAACTGCCTCAGTTATTCAGTCATGTCAATTAGTCACCTTAGTTATCAGTAATGCAGCAGGTAGAATATAGAGTCAATAAAACATACACTTAAAACGTTATCTGCAGTAACAATCAGGATTTTTTTTTTTTTTAAAGCCAAACTCAGTGCAAATGTCCTATGGACATACCCCACTTATTTACTAACTGACTTGTTTAGTAATGAGTTGGCTGTGCCATGGTGTTTGCATGCAGTCATGAATTTCTCTCCACTTCCTGGAACAAAATCAGTTCCCCGGCAGTGCTATTGCGCTCGTGCCATTCCACCCCCAACCTTAAAGAAGCCCTTTCGGGCACCAGGCAGTGAGGAATAGCATGGGTAGGCATAGCTGTTGCATGG